CAACCTCACCTTCCCGTCAGCTCGGCAAGCGGCTTTCCTAGTAGGCTTGCTGAATTTTGCTTGGCACAGAATAAGCATTGCATTGCATGGATTTCCCATCTGCAGGCACGATCACAATGCCGGAATGAGAATGAATCATGCTTATAAGCACTACATGAACAAGGCAGACTGCTCTTGAAATCCCACGTGCCCACAAACACCCTGACTGACAGAACTTGACTCCTAACGCGTACACTTCTCAACTACAGGTTGAGCATGAGGTGTACATGTTGCACTAACCCTTTTAAACGAGTCAAGAGTTCAAGTTAAAGAGTCGAAGAACGGCTCAGGTTTGGGAGTGGAATCGACTAAGCGAGGCGGGAAGGGTCCACAGTTTCCGGTTTACGGCGGAGGGCTTAAATGCAGGGTTCGGGAGTCAGGCCGCGAAAAATTGGAACCCTCATGTTTGAGGAGCACCAGGTATTTATCCCAGCTCGGAAAATGTCTTGGTAGATGTTGAAGCCAAGCGGTTGGTGGGATGTGGGATCTACTTGTATAAGTTTTCAGAGGTGTCAAGCTTCAGGGTACTCACGCAGAACAAAATAATCCCATCCCTCTTGAAAGAAGCAATCCCAATGTAGTACCCATATATAGATATGTATGTATAGCGGGAACATGCATTATTGGAGGGGGTGAGGGGGTTGTTAGGCGGGGTGATTAGTCTTCAATGCGACAGTTTTGCAAGCAGTAAGCAGGCTCCGAACAACCTGCGACGATCTTCCCAATACCAGTGTAGAACTTATAAACTCCTACTGTAGAAGCCCCAAATTTACAAATTTCATGGTCCTAGTTCCTTCATTCTATAATGTTGTAGCGTGCCTCAAACCTACCTCAAAATACTGTCAGCAATTATTTCACCCTCTGTGGTACCCACTTTAACCATACATAGTTTGCAGACTATGGGATGGCCTTGGCAAGGTTTGACCTAGAGTCTCTGGCGATCATATCAATGCTTGTTCCCATTTGCAGCGGTGCTAGCGCTGCAGATCTCCTTGCCTTTGTTGATTTAAGATGACGGTGCTCTTTCAACACATCATCACTGGCTTGAGACATTGATGTTGATGCTGTAGCCCAGTTTGCTATTATGCAAGTTGAAGTTAGTTTCCTTATTTTCAACATACTCCGAAATTCTGGAACTTGCCGTACAAACTCCGTTGAAGGGACGCCTGACTATTGCGGAAAACTTTGATGTGTAATGTGCTGATGGGTAAACATTGTGAGCACAACCCTCACATGCACAGATAGCCGCCCTTATGCCTCCAAGTCTCCTTTCGAAAGCTCTTAATTCTAAGCTTCGGTTGATACATTCTGAGATTGTGGGAACCGTCTTAAGATTCTTCGAGGGCATCGCCCGTATCTGAGACCTCGGCAACCCCCTAAGCCAGTGAGACCCAAACAGTGATAGTAAGAGCCTTAAACTTCTCATTCTCTGAAGAAAAACTGCTTGTAACTCTAGCATGACGGAATGGGTGGTAGGTATAGGGACTATGATTAAAGGCACAGCTATGGGGATTCACGCCTGAAGTCCCAAATTCTCGAACCAGCGCCAGGTAGATAGCGCAAGAATTATCTTGGCAGTTCTCCTGGCCAGGCGCAACGCGTGAACTACATGGTGAAGCTGCAATCGCTTTGACGCCAGATCACCTAACCACAAATCACACACTTAGCATCACCAATGCTCAGGTCTGTGCAGTCATTGGCCTACATGCCTGCAAGGAAACAGTTTGAACTTTCTGACTAACAACAGTTTTTCCAGAAACCCTTGGTGCTCGACCCTATACACCCCATGCAAGGATGTTGCTTCAGAAAGTAACCTGGAACACATTACATACATCGCGACCGGGAGCCTGCTGCCGCTCGTGTCAATCAGCCGAAGCAAAGCTACTTAAGAATTTGGATCAGATTTTGATTTGCAGCTGTCTTCTCCTGGGGATCCCAGCTGGGGCTCCTGGAGCTCCACGGCTCTCAAATTGTTCAAGACGTAGCTGAAGTCTCATGGTTCAAGACAGAGGATTTCCTGGACGGAGTATGAAGTGCTGTTGACCATCATCTTCCTGCGTATACATCAAAAGGCAACACTTCAAGCTCCAACTAACGTCCTGAGACCAAGAAGCAAGTAAGCAGTCGCAGCTTCGCATGTTCAGGTTCACCATTTGCAGCTTCTTATCTAGCAAGCCACCGGGCTGTTGAAGATTGATACCATTGATATGTTCTATAGGATGCTTTCGGCATGCCTTTACTGCCGTTTGATGCATTGTAAGGGATTTGTCTAAATCCGCAGCTCCCCACCTCCACGACCAAACCCCCATCATGAGGAATGTCCCTCAAAAAGCAATGGCTATGTCGCATCCTCTAGGCGCGGCTGTAAACGAAATGACAATATCCAAGTAGGATGTGTTCAGATGCTTGCGGATACTTTGCGTCACACCTCGGGAACCCTGGCAGTTTGGCTTGGACTGCGACCGCGCGTAATTGAGTCCACAAGGCAGACACATAATAACTTCTAGAGAGAACGGTATGACTTCTTTCGTCCCAAAACACCCTAGCACAATCTTATGTAGCACCCAGAGAAGAGCCATCTATCTTCAAAATTGCAGGTTTTTTGCTTGTCCAATAAACATTACAAGCTGGCATAAACTCTACACAGCACACCTTGCCGCACCTTCACCCACTAGGTGGTGAGGCGTTTGAGAAGGGTCCGAGTTGTCAGATTATGGTGTTTAGAGTCAGGAAGACCTGGAAGCCCTACTTGGAGGTTCATGGACGCAATATCATTGTTAATGAGGGGTTCTTAGCCAAGTTATCTTTTGTATAACCTCATATACGGGTACGAAATTACTCATGCTGCAAGCAAGGCTTACAAACAGCTACCCAGAACATTGCCAGTCTTCTCCAGCACTTCGCTGAGATTTCCTGGCTCCAACCAAGGGACCAGTTAAGCAAGGAAGTCTGAACTGTCCAGTCCAATCATCTGCAGGTCTTATGTCGTGTTGCGTTTCACCCGCATGTTTAAGACGACCGACCTAGACGTGGGCTGACCAGTGTTTCTCATTGCTAACTGTCACCTTCGGAAAGCATGACTCTTTACACGCTTGCTGCTGAACTTGCCGGTGAACACCTTTACACGAACACCTTTGCACAAAGCTTCCCGCACCGCAAGATGGTAGTGATGCACATGTTCAAGCGTTTCTTCCTCTGCTTCGAATTTGCACAAGGAGCGAAACTTAGGATAACCTTCCCACACATCGTCGAAGACATGCTGCTTGGCGCTAACTCAGCGCTGGCCAATCCGCAGCCCAGGGAAAAGGGTGCAAAACCCATTCAAGGTTTTACTGTTTCAGCTGTTAAGGTCACCTCTGACCACTATTGGCACAGAAATTCAAGAATGGCTGTCCTCAGTAACGCTCCCTCGGTTCCGAGCGCTCTGGGGGACTGACTTGATGGTCTGGATCCTGCTAGAACCCCGAAGACCGCAACATACTAAAGAGGATCTTGTAACGATGACCTGAAAGTCTAAATGTGGAGGCCGAAGCGCAGTACAAAGGGTCTCCTCCTTCAAATGAAAGCAACAATGACCGAGAGGATTGTCAGATCCCACAGTTGATGGACAGATAGCCGGGCATGGTGCGCGCAGGGTCTTGCTGATTGAATAGCATACAGAATAACCAGCATACAGAATAATTAGCCAGACTGAGCCTGAACAGACAGGCATATTCCACCCTATATAGAGGCTGGCCATAACGCAAGCTATCCCTCCATGAAGCAGGAATCAGGAAGGGGCCAACTGTAGAGCAGCCGTTGAGATGAGATGCCACACGGACAAGGTGCGAACTTCTCCTGAAGCCTACCTATCTCAAGTCCTCTGATTACCCGAAGCCGCTGAGAAATTTCCGGCCTTGTCAGCAGAGTATATAACTAAACGAAACCAGGTAACGTCAGCGTTACATTCCCTGACCCTTCAATCTAGTTATCACTTGGGGATCCTCATGAAAAGACATAAGACCTGAACCTCAGAAGTGGCTATAATAATGGCCCAAAACCCACGAGAAGAACCACGATGGCAATGATCCTACATACTATTGGGGTATATAATCGCAGTTTCCATGTCATGTTCCATGTTATTTTGCATTTGATTCTCCATTATTCGGGTTCAGCTCAGACCGGAAAGCCGACCCTATTAGTTACTATTAACTACCATTAATAACCATTATTATTACCATTCTTATGACCATTATTGCCATTACCCTTCCCCCTGGCAGTCACAGCGGCCAGAAACATGGCCCGCAGCATGGCCAGAGATTGCAACATCTTGCCGGTACCACTTGGGTTGTTCTGAAGATTATGGGCCCCTTTTGGTTGTAGAGTTATATTACGGCACCTAATATGTAGAGGTACCAAAATGGCATCCATATTTTGGGAACTACCCACTGGGAGGTTCATGGGTAAGGTTTCCTGTCCATGTTGCTGCAATCTCACGTCGACAAATTGTGGACTCCGCAGCATCCAAATCTTGCGCGGGCATGAAAATGGCCATGCAAGCCCCAATTCAATGGGAGCAGTTTAGGCTCGCACGCTCCTTTGCCTACAGATAGCTCCAGGAATCGGATGCGTAGATTGAGGCTGGCGTGGGTCGTATAGCCACTTGCAGGGGCCCATGCGCCCTTTGCGGAGCATTTGAAGTTTGTGGACTTGCATACATTCAGCAGGATTCTGCCGAACAACCGTGCCAATATGCTCGCCCGTAGTTTCAGTCCGCTAGCATACGAATCTGGAAAAGCACCAAGAACTTGAACTAACCGGGTCCCTGTCTCATAGGGAGGTTTTTGGTGGTTCTTGTTGTGACATTGAGATTTCCTGCTGGTTTTCTAGTAAACAGGAAACGAGACCACGGACTGGCTTCACGTAAATGCACAGAACGCCCCCGATGAATCTGAAGACAAGAGGATCTCCACATTTGAGCCATGGTCCTTTCTGTGCGACTTGGAGAGCTTTCTCCTACCTGGGGCCGCACTGTAGGCAACGGAACGGACTGGGGGTTAGGTGTGGGTTTCACGGCAGCTGCAGAAGGTGAAGGTGAAGGAACGGCAGATGGCCGTTGGCTTTGTTTAAGTGTTAGTTTTGTAATTGACCTCTCCTTCAGAGGGAGTGGGATGCTGCGTGCGGCTGCTTGTCTTGCTGGCTTCGCTTTCGGCTAGAGTGCCGGGCATTCCTCCTTTCGTTTGCTATCTTTCTGGAATGTCTTCTTGCGGCGATCAAGATATGAAATGGTGTCAGCAGATGCGGTATAGGATCGCTCGGGATTGTCATGATCTTGTTTTGCAGTTGCTACTTAATGAGCATCCTGGTACCTAGCCAGCACTGGACCACGAATTTGTCACGGTATGTTTGTGCGCCAATATGAGTTGGCGGATTGAGACGTTTGTGATGAGGGTTTAAGGGCAGCTGTTCGGGGATCAGGCTTGCAAGCTCAGGATGGGATAAAAGATGGTGACCTTCCTCCGGAGAGTACTCCATGGTGTGTCTTCCGACACTCTGCAGACCACTGGGGAAGTTCAATCAGACAACTCCTTCCCATACAGGCATCAGATCCCGTGCCAGATTCGATCTTTTCGACCTGGGCTTAACCAAATATGCATGTACTGGGTACAGGAGCCCGGACAACGAGAAACGCACGCTGATCGTCATGATGTTCATGTTCTAGCGTGGCGATTGCTGAAGCACTTACTCAAGATTGAAAAACTACAACCGCAACAGTAAATTTTGGGAACCTCAGAGCACGGTAGGCATGCATGCCCAGTTGCATTTGTCGAAGGTCTAGTAGATAAATCTAAGTTATGATTCTTACGAGAGCCTTATCATTCGACGTGTGTAGCCCCAATAAGCCCCAGAGTGCAAAACTCGAGGCGTCATACCACACCTTATTTTTTAAGTCTCATTCAGCTACCCTCTAAGTCTCATTCAGCGCAAACCTTCAGCCTAAAGCCCAAAGGACTAATACTGTAGCAGCAAAGCAGCCAAAATCCAGCACCCCTTAGACAGCTGGATCCAGGCTTCCATGGATTCGAAAGCCCCCGCAGCGCGGCTGGGGACACTGCTGAGGTGTGGCTTCGGGGTTTAGGACTGAGATCTTAGGTTACTTTTGTAGTGTCGGCCAGTCAATTGTATTACGCTAGAACTAAGAATAACCTGGAATTTGAACTAGGCGTAGAGGAAAGATATTAAGCTAAAGCCTGGATTGTTAAAGAGCCAATACAAACTTACCCATGATGACTTACGGCTTTACAGGATGTGGGTTTGAGGCTTGGGCCTGGACTTGTTTACCTAATCCCTCGACATGAAGAATCTCCATATAAGTCCATGTCAGCCTTCAGATCTGCATAAGGGAAAACCATTGACGTCGGGAATGCAGAGCTGGCTGGCCTGCTTTCGACTCAGTCGTATTTCAGGTTTCTCAGTTTGTTGGGGGTCTGTCCAAGGAAGTTTCCAAACATTTTTGTCGCTAGCGTTATCCCTGAACAATTCCCTGAGGAGTTGTTCAACCTGCTAGGAACCCCTTCGCCCCGTTGTGGCCAATAACCAGCGAACGTGCATCCCCGATAAACTTCAGTTGTTGTTGGCGTGGCCTTGTGTTGTGCGATCAGTGGGCCATAAGACTCTAAGAGATCTGAGCTCCAATCCCGCCAAAGCCAGAAATCCGTACCTGTAGATTTCTGATGTCTCTCCTCGCAACGTTTCACTAAAGAGTAGTTTCCATTTTCTTTTCCATTATCTCTACATAACCCCAATCTACTATAGTAGTTTCCATTTTGTTTTCCATTATCCCAATATAACCCTGTCTCTCCTCGCAATGTTTCACTAAATCCAATATAAACCCCAATATTACCCTAATATAGCCCTATTATTACCCCATATAAACCCCAATATTACCCAATAGCACCAACTTCTGGCGAGCCTAAGGCGCCCTTTGCTAGCAAGCAGCCTGGGATCCCTGGGGTTCCAGCAACCTTGAGTTGAACCTAGTAAGATATAGTGGTTATTAATAGGGATAATGGAAAAGAAAATGGAAACTACTATATTATAATAGGGTATATATTGGGGTTATATTGGGGTTATACTACTGCTTTAGCCAGGAAGTGTTTGTCAGTCAGGCCCAATAGGGTCGCCAAATCATGTTGTGTTTTCTTTTGCTGCTGGGTACAACTTGATCTTTCTTCCGGGTAGCAGCCTTACAAAGGCCCTAATGAGCTTCAACGTTTATGTGTTCCCACCAGTGTTTCCGCCAGTGTGGCCTGCTGTTGTAATTTGTGTAAAATCAAAAACGGGCATTTCTGCGTATGTCCGTGCCCCTTACCAAGCTTCCCCAATGCGCCCATCATGTCATGGCCATAACCCGTATAGATTCACAAGGCTAAGGTGATCCTCTCCATCGTGAGAAATCTCGTATTGATGCAGAGTCTGGCAGGTTTTCTCGCCCAGCCGCGGGTGGGTGCGCTCGGAATGTTGGGAGGCACGTTCTCGGGTCATATAGCTACTCTCCGGGGTGAATGCTAGATCGTCATAAGTTTTAGTGTTTGGGAGGATGTATACGGGAATCAACGTTCTCCATTTTCAGTTGAAGATTTGCAGAAGCTCTGGGAGCATAGGAACTGAGGTTGCAGTGCCAAAGGTGTCCGGGCCAAGCTACTGGTTTCTTGGTTAGGGGCTTGGAGCTTTGAAAAGGGTATCTAGGACCTACACATGGGAGCCCACGGCCGCAAGCTCTGTAGACCCGACGGGCTGTTGGCTTTGGATGGGTCTTCTTTGCTCAAGCTCATGGTCATTTAAACGTCGGCCTAGTCGGGGCTATAGCAGTTATGCTGCCTACAAGCCTGCGGACAGCACTTTGCATTAAGATTGGGCTAGCAGAGGGGCAAAGTATCAGCTGAAGGTCAACAATGGTTTTGCAAAGGTGGATGAACTACTTACTTGGAATGCTGCATGGAGCATCGGGGAGCGTCAATTCTTTTAGCAAGCGACAGGCTTGCCGACTAGTCCATATGGGGTCTTAGTGCAGTGCAAAAGTGGTATATGGACAGATAGGGTTTATGCATGTTTTAGGGTCACCGCTCCGAACACACGATTCATGGAGGCATTTTGGTGTTCAGCTTGCTGCAGGATTTCAGACCACTCGTCGTGTCTGAAGGTAAAGCAAAGATGTTGGAATTGGAGCGGCTGCATCCCTGTAGTGTTTTTTTGGGACTAAGTTTGCGTGGTAAGTATCATTCAGTACTGGCTAGCCTTGCGGTTCTCAGCATTCGTGTTTGAGAGGTTATGCGCAGTGTTGACACGCACTGTTGAGCTGCTGTAGTCCACAGAAACCTGTAGGTGGTTGTATTGTCCAGTATGCTAGCCTTTGAGAGGGGAAGTCTTCATTGGCCGTACTAATATGCCCTCTACCCCCACTTCAATTTGTTTCGTTACCCACCCTTTCCCTTTCCTCCCAGCCTCACGTCTCACCACAGGCTCTGCAGCAGCAAGTTCGGGCAGCACAGGCTGGTTCACCTGTTGGTTACTAGTCTTCGTAGTGATGCTATAGCCCCCGGTACAGAGTAAGGTTCTTTCCGCCTTGGAGGCCATTTTTGTAAGCAGAGCATGATCTTAGTTCAACCATCAACAAAGAATTCTACTCAGGTCCTAAACGTCTTCTGAACTCCCTATGTAACCCCTACCTAACCCTCTTACGCTGCTCACCACTGAGTTGGGTTGAGGGTTTGGTGGCGGGCTCGCGACTTGAAGTTTCAGGCTGAATCTACAGCTCTGAGGTGCTGGTAGTTGTATCAGTAAAAGCAACAGTAAAACTAGAACAGTAACAGTAATATAGTACTGGCATTAGTAGTAGTAACAGACATGGAAATAGTAATTAATACTAATGGTTTGTGGCCCCCTGTGGTGTAGTTCCTGCATAGGATACACTTCTTGCTCCCCAAATCGATTTGCCAGGCACTGGGCCCCAAAATCCTACGTCCTAACCCAAACCATCACCCTGGATCCCGGGAATGTACCTTCAAAATGGAAAGGAAGAACAAGCCCAGAAAAAGGATGGACATCCAATTTCCAGGTAAAACCATAACACCTGCACATCTCAGCCCTTTATGGGGGTTTGTGCCCATACTAAGGATTATAGTATTTTGGGGTTTATATTATTGGGCCCCATTATTGATGGAAACTACGTAGTCTCCTTCAGAGCACTGCAGGTGTCACAGTCCTTCGTCTTCTCGCACAGGCGACTGGACGGTGCTGAGCACAGAGCCGACGCTGTTGTGAAGATGCCAGTCCATGTTTGAGATATGAACCACTCTGGTGCTAGGGCGTCACCTCGAGATCTGAGGCTAAACAGCAGACATGAGTCGTCATATTGCAGTCATATGATTTTGGGAGGTAGGGGGCTGAGCGTTATGCTGCAACCAGAGAGGAAGTTGAGTCTACGTATGCCGATCCCAGTCTTGAGGAATTTTGAGGTGCATAAGGGATAGATCTTGGCATGCAAGTGACAAGAAGCTACCTTCATCCGGCAGGATGCAACACAAGGGCTACGCTCTCAAAATCCTTGACAGGGGTTGTTAGCACTTGAGAGGGATGCAGGGGCACCGATGAACATGAAGTCAAGTTTTTGATATTAAGTCACAGAGTTGTTTTTGACTTTGATGTGGAACGGTTCATGGACCTGGCATGTGCCGTGTGGAGATTCGTGGATTTGTGCTGCCAGCACGGGAGCATGCCACTTGCGCATGGGATGCCTGGAGCTAGTTTGAGATAGCCTGCTCCTTGCGCATGTTGTGTTAGAAGCCTCACGCATGATTCTCAAACTTACGCCTTTGTGGGCCCATTTCTGAGACTCCAAATTTCATGTAGACACAAGAAGATCAAGATTTGTCATGGTAGCCCAAGCTGGGCAGGGATTGTGTTCAGTGTTCGGTACGATGATGTCATTGGCTGGCATGTCATTGGAGTTGAACGTAGTCCCTACACTCCCCCAGTGTTCCCAAACAACTGCTGCTGAGAAATGCCCTTATGATGACTGGAAAGGTGTAAGCAATCACCCTGAGGTTCAAAATTTGCCAAAGCCTCAAGAAACCTGAAACCCACCTACCTGTACCAGAAAACTTTTGAGCCTGTGTGTCCCCTTGGCCCCACATATAGACCCCAGTAAAGATGGACCCAGGTGCTGGGGCCGCGGCGCTCGGCAGATACCTGCAGGACTCTGGATGATGCGGGGAGCTCTCGAAACTAGGATTTCCAAAGGGGTGATGTATGTAGACGTTGTATCATATAGGATTACATGGATATATTTAAGATTCAGAGTTTCAGGCTTCTTGAAGTCGCGTCGCTCCAATTGTGAGGTTTTTGGCAGGGTTTTGTTGTTTTGGACGAGGCTGGCTCCTCGAGCCGTCAAGTAGCTTTGCAGCCTCGGGGTTCGGGTAGTTGTTTGGGGTTGAGGATGTAGAAATTTATTTGTTTTGGGGCTTATAGCATCAGGCTTTTCAGCTTCGGGCCTGGGCGTTTGCACTTCGCTGCTAGTGCGCAGCCCAAGCTCTACCAAGCAATGATTGAAAGAGGCTATTCAACAGATGAGGAGGGATGCACGCTGTGGGCATAAGGATTTTACATGGTTTCGGGCTTGCAAGGCAGGGCTTGCACTGGGTTGGAGTACAGGATTCATGACGTTAGCGTGTTGGGGCTTGCTCCTGGATTAGCGCAGAAGAATTTACGTTTTGGCGGTTCAGTCTGTAATATGTAAAGGGTTGGAACGTTCGTGAGTCTTCAGATATGCCGACGTGTAGAACTTGATTCCTCGTGCACCTGGAAGTTATCATTCTGCAGATTTGGTTGCTACAACTTGCTGATGACTTTCTCAACAGTGCCCAGTTTGACAACAACTAAGCCCTGGGCACGCCCAACGATGACACTCGCAGGCTAGCAAATTTTCCGTACGCATCAAGTACGGTTGGCGTGTTGTGTCTCATCACTTACACCGTCTTCTTATGAGTGTAATATTAAGCTACTTCACAGGAGGACTGCTCGGCTCGGTTTGTGGACATATCCTTCCTGAAGCGCTGGCCGAAGGCTTGTGTGCTGCTGGACGGTTGGGGGGTGTAGGTTTGTTACGGTGTTGAGGTGTAAGGTTTAGGATTCAGGGTGACATGTGGGGTCGTTTAGAGCGTTTTGGCAATCAAGGTGTGGCCCTGAAGGCTCAGCGCGCTTAAGGTGATAAGGCGCGACTAGAAGAAAACAACCAATATGCAAGCGTTTGGAGACTGTGGCGTAGCGTCTAACTAGGAAGCGCTTGATTAGTTTTAAGGATCTTGCATGATGTCATCAAGGATGGCTTCGCATATTTCATCAGCTTGCCACTGCAGCATGCGCCACCAACGTCGGACCTTGGCCCTTCAACGCCCGACGTATCGTAGGGAACTGGCCTAGACGAGCGCAAGCCTTATCCTACCCTCGAGGCCACCCTGCAGAGTCCAGGTAAAGCCGAGAAGGCATGCCTCAAGATTTGCCGCCAACTGCCTACCTCCCAAAGTCATAGAAATACCTACATGCACAGTAAGTATCTCTTTCACCGTTGTTGGGTAAGCTGGCGGCTTGCCTGAGCTTGGTTAGAGACAGCAGAAAGAAAGGGACAGGCCCAGGGTGGCAAACCATATGAAGCGCAGTGGTTAGCAGTGATGTCAGAAGACGGCTTCTGCAAATGTGCAAATGTGCGGACTGCTGAGTATTGACGCCTCTTAGATTAGACTTTCTTGAACTTACCCCTAGAGTCCTATAGTCCTATAGTATCCTTCAAAAGGACTTCTCAGAGATGTCCATGGTTGCTTTGGGAGGTGTCCGAGGCAGCAGCTAAAGCGCTCTGTGAAGGAGCTGCGCCGGCTCTTCATTAAGAGAGACAGCTCATGTGAATAGACATCTGACCAAAATTATTCGGAAGTGGGCATGACAGGGATGTTCAGCGCGGTTGGCAAATGGCAACTTTGATCATAAGGCCCCAAGAGAAGTAAATCTTGGTTTTGTCAAGTATGAAAATGCGTGTTTGCCAAGAAATAGGAGGCAAGCTGGTAGCCACTGACTTCCATTTGGGTTGCGGGACCGGCATGCTGTGGGTGGGCATACTCTATGTATTGAGCTATTTTTATGGCCACCAGCAGTTGTGAGATGTTCCCGTCTCATAGGAATGCGTCGTCTTCGATCTTTGTCCCTGGACGGCAACGAATTGGCTCAAAACCCAGAGTCCCTCGGCCATTTGTAATAAGATTGTTGAGGGTCCAGAAATGTTGCATGACAACGCACTAAGGACAGTTTAGGGTTATCCAGAATTAAGCAGTGCAGCTTGCTTTGCATTCTGATCCCAATGCACATGTGACTTTAATCCTCCGTCCTCGTCATCCTCAACAACGACTTGATGAGGGTGACATACATGGATGGATAGCTAATAGCAGAAAGAATTCAAAGACTTCAACGTCAACAAGATCAAAAGTGTAGTCTTATGGAAATTATCTGCCGTAGCAACAGCAGTTGTATCGACCTTGAGGAGCAGACCCACAGTCTGCAGACACACTTGCAAGCGAACAAGACGTAAAGCCTTTGTACATGCCCTCTTCTGGCGCATGCACCGTGCCAATAATCTAAGCTGATGGCCGGCGCCCTTCTCAAGAGCTTTTGTTTGTGCATCAGGGTCGCAAGCCTTATGCTGGACTTCAATGCATGAGTAGATTGTTGGCATAATCTGCACATGTACATCTGCCCGATGCCCTGGGGCATCATGAAATGAAGCCAAGGATCTTTGAGCAATGGTGCCGCGCTGTGGAGGCCGCTGAAAAGTTTTTATGGTAGCGGTCCAAGCTCTGGATTTGTAGGAGTGATTGCTGGGTGCTGGGCCTCGAGGATAAAAGCTCCCAACACAAGCACTTTGGCTGGAGTTTCTCAGCGTGTTGCCATATCTTGGAAGGGCAACAAGGTATGCCTACAGTATTGTGGTCATAGTATGTTGAAACATGATGGTCCGGATCCCAGGAAGCCCGAAGGAGGTCCTTCAGTTTCTCCACCCTGGTGGGATGTTTGTCATGCGTGTTTTGGCGTTGCTGTGCAGGTATGCTCGGAAGCAGGTTAGGCAATGTAGGCTGTCTTGCACGGCTAGCGTGTCGTGCCAGGGTTTGCATACACTTGTGCTAGCAGAGCTGTGACTTCTGGACTTCTGGGCTACTACCAAGTTCGAGTACTTCTCCAGTGGTTTCACAATTCTACATGAAACTCTGAACACCGGCCTGCTCCAAGCTCCTTAGTGCGTGTTGGGGTGTCATATTGATTTCCAGTGCAAGGCATACCAGGGCTAATCAGTGAAAACAAACATATCCCTAGGGAAACTCGGGGCATCAGGACGAAGGCCCATACAAGAGGGATAGACAGGAGATTACCCCCAGTTTCACAAGCGTGGAGCCCAACTTAGGTCCCTTTTTCAAGGACAGTACCCGCCTTCTCGGGATAAATCTTAGGTAAGGCAGAGCTTGCATACGAAAAGAAGCTAGGACTCCAACAGGGTTGGGTATATGTCCCTCTGCTTCAGGCGCACCCTGGGCTTCAGCACCTCTCCCTTCAGAAGACAGGCACCTGGTAAGTCCTTCGCTGCAGGCTTTTGAGAAGTAGTGTGATGGGCTTCTTGTGCTCGGTATAATCTATAGTAAGCCTGGTTATAACTCAGCGTGCCACTACGTCTGAACCTCCAGCTACTACTCGATGTCGTTGTGGGAAAGGTTGTCAACATGATGCTCCAATTCGGGTAAATGTCCATGGTAATATAGGGACATGTATATATGGAATAATGAGAAATCAAATCGACAAAAGCATGCACAATGACATGAGCGCTGCATTGATCTAGGGCTCTATGCGGATGACTACTGCAATTGCCGAAGGCCTTGGAGATCAGGAGGCGCAGCTCCTCGCTGAGGCTGGAGATGTTCCAGCAAGTTCAGGCATGGGGTAAGCTACTTGTATAGGGGCTACAGGAACTGGATGGCATAAAGAGATAGTTCTGAATCCTAGGAAGGACTCCACGTACGACTACCCATGAGCCTTTGGGTACCTTTCCGCACAACCATGGTCAGGAAATTTGTTCCAGTCCTTACAACAGGGCCACCAGGTCACTGACCAGTTCTTAATCTCGCTGGCGGAGACAGAGTGCATCAATGTTTGACACTTTAACTTCGGATGATTTGAGCACTCAAGAATCCAGGGTTCCGGTGATTATGGGGGCTCCTGTGTCACGCAGGGTGCAGGACCCACGTCCAAGAAAACATGTAGGGCTTGGGGCCTGTTGCGTGATTCGCAAACCTGCTCTATTCATGTTTAAAGTGTCTTTCGTCAGTTTCAGAGTACCCTGCAGTCTTCTTCTCGACATTGCATGTAGGATAGCTCGCCAGTCACAAGGGTCAGGGTCCAGCCTACCATGTTGCTTCTTGGGATTCTGCATAACTTTAAGCTATTCGGAATTCATTAATATACAGAGTCGTAAGACAACAGAATTCTCCTGTGAGACCCATACTATGGTCAGACAGCCAAGGAACAACTGCAGCAGCCCTGTTGGGTCTGTCCTGCACCACACTCCCACAAATATGGTAAACCAACCTGGCCCGATTCTCCAGTGAAAGTGTTCCATGTGCCACAAAACGGCCAGCTTTGGGGAATGTGTAGGGCTTCTGGAGAATGATGCAGGTGCTGTGCAGATCATCAGCGTGCTTCTGCAGGAAGATCCAGAGCCGGTGTCATTGTATAGGGACTATGTAGCACTACTGTGCATGGCCAGTACCTCTAGATCATGAATGGGCAGGTCGTCCGGAACCACTCGCTACTGTTCTCGCTCGACCTGAGCTGCAATCCGATTACGGACCAAGGTGCGACCGTCAGCATGACTTCCTTGCGGCTTTCTTCGCGGGCTTTTTAGACAGAGGTTTGGAAGGTTTCTACTTGGTGACGTAGCGAATGTACACGCGTGTCCTTTGATTTGGCTCATGTTTAGGCCTCAGGTGCCAAGATGAGGCCTGCTGGACCTAGCGAGCCCAGTTGACCGTCCAGAATGCCACATGGAAGGCTGTGATTAGACTCAACAGCGCAGGTGCGTCAAAGCTGCTCTCCGCGCTGGAGGAGAATCACATTCTCTTAGATGCTTCGCCTGGTTCATGAGACTTTTGGGTTGTGAGGTCTAGGCTTTGTGTCTAGTGCTCTCAGTGGAGCTCTTCAGGGTATGTATTGCTTGCTTGCATTGAGCAGGGCGTGCACGCACCTTCTTTTGTTTGTGTATATTCTTTTCCAGGAATTCAAGCATTGCTCTTCACGTTACATGCCGAACCCTGGATCTTGTTCCCTTGAGCATGCTTCGCACCGAGCTGAGGAATTGCATATCGAGGCTACAGAGATTGGAGAGGCCATTCCGTTCCTTGCCCCTCCCCCTTGCTCTCATGATTGGCCTCATCGTTGCTACAAAGCTCACTGTGAGAAATGCAGTCTGTTCTCAGTGTTGCAAAAACTTGCTTTTGGGGTTCCTGCGGTGGTTGCTGCATTGTTCTTTCTTGCTACACCTACAAGTAGCATGTCATGTCTTTGAAAGCACCACCGCTATATACGCCCTAAGCCCTTGGAGGCAATGCGTCAGCAGCTTGCTGCGGTTGTGGCCAGAAATCGAGAGAGGCGGGCTTGGAGGGGAATTGGGTACAGATTCTGCTTTGCGCAGGAGACAAGGGGTGTCTGTGGAAAGCATGGAAGGTTTATAAGGGTCTTAAGGATTTAAACCTAGGGAGATCAGAAGCTCATAAACAGGACGTCCGAGCTAAGGAGATGACGCACGAGGGCCTAATTAGGGTGCCTATGCTGCGTCCTTACCACTGTGATGGGTCTTTGCGGTACGTTCGCTGAGTTGACGTTCTACATCGCTACGTTTGAAAAGATTGAAGGTCATCAGTTTGAATGACCACGTCGCATACATATTAGTCATCAGAAAGGTCGCCGGCATTTTCAGTTGTGTTTTATTGTTTTCGTTCGTTTTTGTTGGAAGATGGTCAGGGCGACATGCTAGCACTCGGGCCAGGGCGACATGGTAGCCTGGTAGCACTTGGGTCAGGTCGGGAGGTGGCGTATGGTAGTGTTTGGAGAAGTTGAGTTCCCCGCGCGGTGTGGAAGGATTGGAATGCTTCGTGAAAGCCCTTGTTTTCGACATTTCTGAAAAGCATGCTTGGCAGTTCATCGGTAGGTGCACGTCAAGTTCTTTTGGGGATGGCCAGATTCGAGGTTTGTCATTGAACCTTATTGGTGCGGGCTATGTCCACAGTTAGGACTACCCACAGGCCTTCACATGTAGTGGCCGATGTTTGGTGCCTCTGAAATCCAAAATACCTTGACAAGCCTACGTAACTGGTAATATACATGTCTTGCTCAGCATGTGTCACGAACGACTCGCATCAATGTTCTCAGGAACTCTAGACGTGACTGTTTCAACACTTTTCAGGGTCTTCTGAAGGGCCCCACTCCAATCCTCGACGGGGCATTCTAATCCAAATCCTGCGAGCCTGCTATAGGTACCAGGGTGCGAGACCAGTGGCCGAAGTGCTCAGAGGCCGGGTGGGACTTCCCTGACATGAACAAAGAAACGTAATCTAAGCACTGCAAAAATTGCTGAGGCCCATCTGGGTGTCCACTTTCTTAGAGGGCGTTTCCTTTTCAGCGGATTTGTCGTTTTGGCCGCGAAGCTAATGCGGATGGTGAGTGGGGTTGTTTGTGCGACTTGTAGGGTGCCAAAGGTTGCCTGCAACAAGGCCTGTACATAGTCCTCACGTCTTATTCCTGCACCATTCACTCCCACATCCTCCAAATCCCCAAAATACCCTTCATCACTTCC